GAGGTGATGTCTGCAGAGCTGCTCTCCGTGGGGTCCTGGAACGCAGCTCTGTGACCTCTGGGGATGGGAACTCATCAGAGAGACCCCCAGACTCCTCGGGATGTTACAAGAGATGATGTTATGGCTTTAGTTTGTCTGGACCTTCTAATGTGCCTTGTCCAACAAGAATGTGACCATCAGCCATGGGAGTGGGTTGCTCCCCCACGGCTGCTGGGAAGTGGGGTCCATGTGGGGGTCCCCATCCCTGTGCAGGAGGGGGGGCAGCAGGTGACTGTCACCACCAGCTTCTCACTGGGCTGGAAGGGTCGAGCGGGGCTGGCATGGGAACTGATCCCAATCGCTGGCTCTCTCCTGTGCCCTCGTGTCCTGGAGAAACCGTGCTGGCTGCTCTGATACCTGAGCTCCCAAGCAGGCAGGTCTTGAGGGCAGGGCAGAACAGGCAGCAGGCTTGGGGTTTGCTCCACTCACTGTGTCCTGGCCAGAGCCTCCTGCGGGCTGGAGTCCTCCGCAGGAGCGGTAGCAGAGACCACCCATGCAGCACGTTCGTCTGCGCTGCGCTGCCGGTGTCACCAGGAGCCACGGGCAGGGCTGCAGCCGGGCTGGCTCACGCCTTCCCATCTCTCGCAGGTGAATCAGGGGAACATGCCAGGCATCCAGAGCACCTTCCTTGCCATGGACACAGAGGAGGGCGTGGAGGTGGTGTGGAACGAGCTGCTCTTCACCGACAAGAAGGCCTTTAAAGCACACGAGGTGAGCCATCCCTCCCCGGTGGGACCATGCCCACCTCCCGAGATTGCCCACTGCACCTTCGTGGGCAGCAGCACACCTTGGTCAGCCGTGCTAATCACAGCCTGTCATGCTGTGCTCCTGTCTGCATGGCACTGTGCTTTCCCTTGGCTTCTCTGAGACAGCTCCATGTGTCCTCTGTACCCCGAAAACAGCTTTCCCTGTGACTGGGGGCACAGCCTGCTCCCCAGCCTCAGGTTCCCTTGCTCTCAGAGGTGTCCTGCCATGTCCCAGGACCTGCCACCTCACCTGTCCTCTCTCTGCCCACAGGAGAAGATCAAGACCATGTTTGAGCAGCTGGTGCTTGTGGATCACCCCAACATCGTAAAGCTTCACAAATACTGGCTGGATGTGAAAGACTTGAAGGCACGGGTAGGGAGGACGCGGGGAGACCAAGGGGCTGGGGGGGTCCCCAGGCTGGGGGAGGGATGCCAGTGGAAGCCAGGTGGGGATCCCAGCTCTGCTCCTCACTCCGCTCCCTGGGACTCCCCTTCCTTCCCCAGGACACTGCTGCCAGCAGCCTGCTCTCTGCTGTGTGTGGGGCCGGCGCTGGCTGCGTGCTGCTGGCTGGGGAGCCCACGGGCTGCGCCCGACGCTGGCTGTGCAGGGAAGCTGGAAGCTGATGCCTCTCTTCCCTCCCAGGTCATCTTCATCACAGAATACGTATCCTCAGGGAGCCTGAAACAGTTCCTGAAGAAAACCAAGAAAAACCACAAGGCCATGAATGCCAGGGTAGGTTCCCTGGGAGCAGCACAGGGTGTCCCAGGTGAAGTGGGTAGCTCTGTGCTTGCTGGCACAGGGCGGGTCTCTGGTCTTTTATAAGGCACAGTAAGTATGTGTGGTTGCTCCCTGAGTTACCCAGGGACTCTCTGCCGTAGGGAGATGGCATCTTGGTAAGGGCCGGAGCAAGAGCAGAACTTCCCCGGGACAGCCCGGAAACGGATCCTGCTGTCAGGATCTGAGCCCGAGGGTGGGGAATCTGCTGGAAGCTGCTGCAGTGATGTTCAGCTGCATGATGCTGACTGCTCCTGGGTCTGCATCGTGCTTCGGGAGGCCTGCATCTCCATCGCCCTCGATGAGGGACAGTGGGCTTGTGACTAGGTTACTGCTTGGGTTGAAGGGACCGGTTTCACCTGCAAACCCACTCAGTATGGGTCTGACTAATGGTTTTGCAGGCAGGCGTCAGCTGGCTGTGACTGAGGAGCTGGGTGACCCTTCTGGGGGCCCTGTGCTTGACCTTGCAAGCCCTCTCATGACGTTTGAGCTCAGTATCACACCAGTGCATTTAGGCACTGCTGGAATTGAGGCTCACTGTTGGTGTGTACAGAGAAAACCATATGCATGGACCCCACAACCATAGCTAGCTTTGCCCGCTCTGTGATGTGCCTGTCCATGCTTCCGCCAGGTTTTGGGGCTCAGGAGAGCTCTGTCTGCTGGTAAGGATGAGTTCTCAGCTTTGATGGTGTTCTTTGAACAGGGGTTGGAAAGGAGACTGTTGTGGCTGGGACTGTGTGGCTCATCTTTGAGTAACAGTCTCTGCAGGGCTAGTGGAAGGCTGATTTCCACAGTCACTGGGTAATGAGTAGGAATGACCTGATCCAGCTGCTGGGCTCTGATGGGTGTCTCATCTGACGGGGAGCTCTGGTCTCTGCTCTAGGCCTGGAAGCGCTGGTGCACTCAGATCCTGTCTGCGCTCAGGTAAGCTTGCTGTCGCTTGCACTGTTGGCCATCCTGCTTCTCACTGGGCTGGGCACAGGTAATGTGCTCAGGGCAGCTTTGTGCTCCCCCAGCTTCCTGCACTCCTGTGAGCCTCCCATCATCCACGGCAACCTCACCAGCGACACCATCTTCATCCAGCACAATGGGCTCATAAAGATTGGTTCAGGTAGGAAGCCGCTGCCCTCGCAGGCCCGCAGCTCCATGTGCTGAGAAGAGTCAGCAGGAGGAAGCTGCCCACCGAGGGACGTGGCGGGGTCGTGCGGGGCTGTATGCCAAGGGGGTTCTGACTGCGCACAGAGAGCTGTAGGGTCCCTCAGGGGATCACCTGTGCAAGGCTTGGAGTTACCTTCTCTTCTCTTTGTGTCCTCTGCTCCACGCCTTCTTACCCGTCCGCTCCCGGCTTGGCGCTGACCGGCAGTCTGGCACAGAGTGTTTGCAAATGGTGAGTGTCCCTCTGCCACCTCTCCCAGCACGTCAGTGCTGTCCCTGGGTCGCCCTTCCTCCCATGTGGGCCCTGGGCACCTCTCACCAGTGAGGCTCGGCGGCACGGAGCAGCAGCCCCGGGCTCTGCAGGCAGGGGGGACCTTTGTCCCTCAGGGAAGCGCTGCTCCTGTCGTGGGAGCAGAGGGGTCTCCTGGGGGAGTGAGCGCCCCACGGGTGCTGTGCATGGGCAGCAGCACACACAGAAATCCCTGCTGCCTCGAGCACCCGTCTGTGCTCATAGCCCTGGGGAAGCGGCTTAGAGCTGTGATGCAGAACATTTCTCGTTCCCCGATGCAGCCCTCCCGGATGACCTGCGAAGCCCCATCAGGATTGAGAGGGAAGAGCTACGCAACTTGCATTTCTTTCCCCCGGAGTACGGCCGTGAGTGCGGGGTCTGTCTGCCGGGAGGTGCAGGCAGCGCGGGTGCCCAGAGGGACGCGGAGGGGGGTCCTGTGTGAGGTGTGGGCGCAGTATGTTTGCGTCAATACAGAATTATTCAGTGCATTCATAACTAAAGCTGTTGGCCGTGAGTCACAGAAGATCTTGCAATAATGAATGACTGTGTGATAACATTGTAGGTAAAATTTAGTCTTGATTAGTGCAGAGCTATGCACGTGGGAAAAACAGCTGTGCCTGCATGGGAATGGACTGTGCATTAGCAATTACTGGTTAGGAACAAGATCTCAGCATGACCATGGATAGCTCTGAAAAGGTCAGCTTATGGCTGAGGAACACTCAAAAGCCATGCAAAATGTTACAACAATTAGGGAAAAACAAGTAAAGAATCTTTGTGCCATGTGAAAACTCATGATGTGATCCCCGTCTTGAATATTTTGGCACAAATTTGAAGGGAATAAATGGGAAAGGTTTGTGCAGGGAACTGAGAAAATGTGTGCTGGGGTGGGGGAAGCAGGCGTGAGCAGAGGGGGGTCAGGCGTGGGCAGGGGTGTGCGGGCAGAGGCATCTGTAGGGATGAGGCAGGGTGCAGGGGGCTGTTCCCAGAGTGCGCGGGTGGTGGGCTGTACCTCTGGCCTGATGTGGTTCTGGCTTGGTTTTGCAGAAAAGACTGACGGGACTGCTGTGGACATCTTCTCTTTTGGGATGTGTGCACTGGAGGTATGGAGCAGGATGGCTGCAGCACCTGGGAACCTGCAGTGACCCCTGGTTACAGGGCAGGATTGCTCTTGCTGAGCCTGATGGGGATTGCAGTGGCCCGGGGAGCTTCCCGAGGAGTCTCCTTGCCCTTTTCCAGACCTCACTGTGAGCTGTGGGGATCCCTTGCAGTGATGGAGACCTCTCTGCTGAGTTCAGCAGAACATTTTCTGCTGCCATGGCCCACTCTGCCCTGGGTGCAGCAACAGGCTTAAGTCACCTCTTCTATGCTCGGCTCGTGCCTCTCAGCCGTCTCTGCTGGTGCCTCCTCTTCCTCCTTGGGCTGTGGCAGCCCTGGGAAGGGAGGGCATAGAGGGCAAGGACAGACCTTGCTGCTCCAAGAGGATGTGCACGGCCAAGCACAGGTTGCCTGGTCAGTCTGTGGGGCTGTTGGTGCTGTCTGCGTTGTCCCCTGGTCTGCACAGTGCTCAGGGAGCAGCATCCCATGTCTGCCGTGCCAGGAACCTGTGAGCAGCCTGGAATGCTGTGGTAGGCAAGAAATGGGCCCTGAGGGGAGGGACACAGTGGCCAGGGAGCACCGGGGAGCCCAGGAGATCTGGACCTTCTGGAGAGAGTTGTGGCCAGAGCCTGAGACAGGCCTGGCCAGGCTGTGTGTCCTGGTGAGCAGCTCCACAGCTGCCACCCTGCCAGGAGATGTCCCTTTGGGAAGCCCTCAAGGACCGACCCAGTGCTCGGCTGCGTGCAGACATGGCTGCACTCCTTCTTCCCCAGATGGCAGTGCTGGAGATCCAGACTAATGGGGACACGCGGGTCTCGGAGGAGGCAATAGTGCGGGCACGACATTCTCTGGATGATCCCAACATGAGGGTGAGTGCAGCTGTCCGAGCCTCGGGGACAGGGCCACCAGGCTGTAGCCTGACCCACAGATGGGTCAGACATCCCTCCTGGGGTGTCAATCTCCCCATAAGCATCCTTCCCCTTGGCTGGTATCTGGAACGTCAGAGCCAG